TGTGTGTGTGTGTGTGGTGTGTGTGTCTGTGTGTCTGTGTGTGTGTGTGTGTGTGTGTGTGTGTATGTGTGTGAAGTTTCTCATTACCTAAAAATTACAAATTTGAAACGCATTTCGAAAATCTGTTTCTCAGATTATAAGTCAATAATTTATAGATAAATATATCTTTAATTTGGCTTCAGTGAATTAGTGGCAAATACTTCTCTTTATTTAAACACAGCAAGGAATAATTTGTCCATGAGAAAATTCTAAACACATTTTGAAGTATAATATTATTTTTAAGACGCAATACGATGAAAAAAATTGTTGCAAGATTTTCCTAATTGTTTAAGCACTATCGTACTTATCAATTAAATTGTAATCAAAAACAATACCAATTAGAAAAGCTAAAACTATTTTACTGTATTATGTTTTAGAAATTACAAGATTGATCGATCAATCAATTAATTACTCGCAATTTATTTGCGGTGACCGTGATGCAGTCACGAACTGTACCACTAAACCTGGGATATGTACACATTGTTCGTTGTCAAGTACAAACTGCAAGTTATAAAGGCAAATGATATTTTTAATGTTTTTACATCCAATTAATGAGAGCATAGGTATGCAAATACACAAAATTCTACTAATTTGATTGAAATTGATCATAAAACCGGAAACATATTTATTGGGAAACGGCTATTACATATGTACATATTTTCGCTTATGGTCAATTTATCGTTATCGTTATTGTATTTTAACAAACATGTATTTGGCACCATTTATATTTAATATTAATACAATAATTAATATAATTAATTACATAAAGTCATTTAATCAATTACTTATTATTAATTAACTATCAAGATAATAGATTAACTTAAAGATAATAGATTAACTTGCACCGCTCGCACAAATATTCAAAGTGTTCAGAAAGTACAGGGACAACTGAAAAACAACAAACAACGCTACCTCGGTAACATTGCGCATGCCAGATTGCGGTCGATTCTACGGTTCTGCCCTGAACGACACGATACCGCAATCGTATCTTTTTCCAACTCTCTCATTTCGCATCCATCGAAAACTCATTTGCCGCGAAAATTGTTTTTTTGACGTCAATACGATGCGGATGCGGTAGGTAGATAAATTATCCGGTTCCGATGACCGCCCATTTTGTCGTTGGAAAATATCTATTGTCGAATGCTTTGATGTGCATGAGAGCTTGTTATTAATGCTTTCATCGAATACGGGATTCAATGCGTCACCACTTTCGATTGCTCGACTAGAACGCGCAGACTATGTACGTTCGATTTCCACGAGACTACCTTTCCCAGCATCAGCATAACGAGCAAGCATGAGAAGCGAGGTCTAAAGCTTGCTCGCTGCTTCATAGAACTTGTAATAGAATAATGGACAAGAAAATGCAACAATGAAGGAAAATGCGGCGATAACTCGCTTTGCGTATAAACATTTTTATTTGCGTCAAAAATTTTTGATTTATTATTTTTCACAAATCACGTTTTGTATAGTAACAACATGCTTTTCAGACAAGCGGTATCTTGCGGCGCACAAATTAATCATAAATTGCAATTCATGAGTGTGGACAGGTCGATATCGTCGATTGTAGCGTACACGTGCGACAACATGAGTTCTCGTTGGAAACCGTATAATCTGGTAGCAATAATCTAGCCCATCAGCCTTTCGTCATTTGCGATGCGTTGGCTTTCTCGTCCGATAGTATCCACGGGCATCGGACGTCCGTATGATTCGAGAGAACGCATCTGCACCGACACACGTGTCCAACGCGTTCAGTGCTCATGGCGGCTTTATACACGTACCCTTTATGGACAGAGCATATGGGTCACTGCCAGTGACAGGGAAATACTGCTGCTGCTGCTGCTAACTACTACCTTTTGCTCTAAGTTATAGCGGCGCGTATAGTTCCAGTGACCACATTGACTGCACTGTTTATAATTTTTCCCTTTTATCTTGTACCCATCCTTTCAATCTTCAGCAGTTCAGCAGATGTCGCATACGTATTGAAGCATTTTCAAAATTCTCTTTAGCGTATTAAAAGAAAAATTCTGACCAGTCCTGACCAGTGAACGAAGATCTGTAAAAAAATGCGCACGTCTTTAAAGTTGCCGACTGTATCACTTTTACGATGCAAATGAAGTATCTTTTAAAGCCAACATATTTTTTTTCTAGAAATAACAAAGTAATACTTTAGTTTTAAAATAATCTTTTTGTGTCATAAGTCACATTCATATTTATAACAGAGAGACCATAATGATTTCCTTTTTTTTTTTAGTTAGAGTTTGGTTTGCTTAATAACTACACAATAACTATGAATTCATTTCATTTTTCCCCTCTTCGAATTCAACTCAGTCCGTTTAATTTTCATGAAACCATTGTGCTAAGGAAATGTTACAAACTTATTTCGCAATCGTAACTTGTCCTTGATTTTTGCACTCCATGCATAAAGAATATACGATTGTCGTTAAAATTGAGAAATGAAATAATATAAATATATTAACGATATACATATATTATATTATATTAAAATTACTTAAACCATTTTCTTAATTTTTAATAAACTTTTAATTCTCCATGCATTTATGACATATTAAATCAAAATATATCCCGTTCCAGTTGAGAAAGTACTACTGAATTTAAAATCCTCAAAGTCGACGAAGAGGAAATGTTCACTTCAATATAAGTTGACGATGACCTCTCCAACTCGCTTACTCTCATCAGTTCCTTTTTATCTTTTCCTTAACCACTTTGGTGAAGTCGCCGATATCGTTCGCGTCGATTCGGCTTTTCTACTGGCGTCGTCTGATCCACTCGAGTCCCTTGAATTTAAACTCAGTCGCGAGTTTCGCGTAATGAGGAAAATATGACTAGACTTCTGCGCGCAGAGTCGCTTCAGCAAGCGTTCAAATTATCGTTATGATGTGAACGTGACGTGAAAGAAGATGCATTTTCTATCCGTACTATATATACTCTTTGCGTTGTCGTAATTATGCGAATAATTTACTTCTGTAATCAGAATAACATGTTCAGTTAAAAGGAATGAAAAACGCGAAGCTTATATATGTGTAATAAGAGACTTGTATTATATTATGACTTTAATAGGAGTTACATGTACAATGGCTTTTTACATAATATCTTTGTTATTAGCAAAATTATAATGATTATTTATAGAATGATTTTTTTTAATAATCCGTCATTATACAATGATGCTGATATGCCAATACACAATAGCTGGTATATTATAATGTAAATTTTTACTTCAAAACATTTTCAAGGTATATTTTGATACATCACTTATATATATATATATATATATATGTATATATATATATATCACTTAATTTTATATATATATATATATAAAATTAAGTGATATATATATATATACATATATATATATATATACATATATATATATATATACATATATATATATATATATACATATATATATATATATATGTATATATATATATATCACTTAATTTTATATATATATATATTTATACATCATTTATTTTTATATATATATATATATGTATATATATATATATATGTATATATATATATATATGTATATATATATATATCACTTAATTTTATATATATATATATTTATACATCATTTATTTTTATATATATATATATATGTATATATATATATATATGTATATATATATATATCACTTAATTTTATATATATATATATTTATACATCATTTATTTTTATATATATATATATATGTATATATATATATATCACTTAATTTTATATATATATATATTTATACATCATTTATTTTTATATATATATATATTTATACATCATTTATTTTTATATATATATATATTTATACATCATTTATTTTTATATATATATATATTTATACATCATTTATTTTTATATATATATATATTTATACATCATTTATTTTTATATATATATATATTTATACATCATTTATTTTTATATATATATATATTTATACATCATTTATTTTTATATATATATATATTTATACATCATTTATTTTTATATATATATATATATAAAATTAAGTGATATATATATATATACATATATATATATATATACATATATATATATATATATGTATATATATATATATATGTATATATATATATATCACTTAATTTTATATATATATATATTTATACATCATTTAATTTTATATATATATATATATACGTACTCTGTCGCTGACATATAAGGGGCCTTTATGCAAATTATTTTTTTTGTCGTACTTAATATTTTTATTTATTCTTAATATTTTTATATTTTTTAAATAAATTACTTTTTAAAATAATTTCTCAAATTTTTTTAAAGAGTATGCAACTTTTCATTTTTCTTCAAAAATATTGTAACTTTTTCTTAGAGAGGAAATGTAAAAAGTAAAAATTTTTTAACTCTATTGTATTGACAAATATTAATAGCGTCGAAAAATAACTATCCGATCCAATCAATGGTTTCAGATTTTATGACACAGTTTCTCTAAATTTATATACATGTTTCAGAAGTAATTAAGTTTGACAAAAGCAAGCACATGCAATTAGTGTTACAGAAAGAGAGAATTGATTTTTTAAATTATATTTAGCGTCTCCCTTGTTAAATGCGCTTTGGACAATGCTAACTTGCACACCATGCTTGCGGCGGCTGTACACATTTACAATGTGTGTGTGTGTGTGTGTGTGTGTGTGTATGTGTGTGTACAGAATGCGTCATTAATGTCTTGCCATTTTAAATTAATTTTATACATATATGTATGTGACATTCGTATGTCATACATGCGTAGAATTTCAAGTAGGAAGGCATCAATGATGCCTTGTTGAATGTTTTGTTCATAAATATTTGATATTGTTTCGGCTGTATTATTTCGTCTGTACTATTTATGCAAAGTTAAACAATAGCACGCCATTTTGCTAATGTAGTCCCATAATAATAATATAATTTGTTTTTCGAGGTTTTCATTAAAGTACTTATTCGATAAGTTCATTAAAGTCTACTAGTAGTAGAGTATTACTCTTTGATATAACATTATGATCTAACATTGTAATCTTCCGTAATATTTTACTTTTTTTGTAAATACTTAATTCTTTAACCAAATACTGTGTTTTTTAAATGAAATAAATTTAAAAAAATCTATTTATATAAAATACGTATTGTCACTCCTGTTTTTCTTCGACTTATGATATAATGTTATTACATTTATATAAATGATATCCTAAATAATAAAAAATGTATACCTTTGAGTTTAAAATCGATTGAATAACACTTAAATAATTGTAATTGTTAAGTTATCAATTTAAATTCTGATTATCAAAATTATTGCAAAATATAAAAAGAAATACAAAATACAATACTACCTCTTTTTTATATGTATATACAAATTCAATAATATCAGATTATCATTTGATAGACATCTTTTTATTAAATTGCTTAGCAAAATTTCTCCTTTACGAATAAGATGAGATCCTTTATGAATATATCAAATTCTATTGCAGAACCATAGATATAGTTCACAATAGAATGATAAAAACATTATTAAATTTTCAAGTACACTTTAGCTACTTATTCGTGTAAAATAAAATTAGTTATTTATTTCTGTTAACACTCTTCTAATATAAGCTCATATTAATGACTTTCTCAGCGATTTTTTCTTATTATCTTATTTCGTGATGTCGTAAATACGTGTGTCAGAATTGCGCGACATTATTGGGACAAATGTTTCCTCTCGCGACTGCTCTATTCCAAAGACATCGCCTCACAATCGTGTAACGCTTAAAATTTCAAGCACGTGGTTCACGTAGTGGATTGCTAGATTTTCCTCATAAATGTGCGAACTTATGTTTCTTTACATTATATATTCACGAATCGCGCCTTTTAAATCGTATTGTAATTACACAAAATTCTTTAACTGTTTAGTTTGACTTTGTTCAAGATCACGAAATATGTTTAATCTCTATTATCTATAATTTACTTTACGAAATTCAATCGCTAAGATAATCTATTTTTAAAAAGCTATACTTTTTATAAGAAATCTCGCAAGATACATCGTAAGTTTGTATTTTATTCGCGTGGATATTTGAAATAAGAAGTAAACTCTAATGAGTAAGTTACACGCAAGAGAGTATTATGAAATGTAACTTACTATACGTGTTTGCGTGCTTCGTCATATAATACAAGTAGTATCACAGAATTAGAATTGATAAAATCTATTACGGATCTATATCAAAAAGAAATTTAGAATTTTTTAAATTAAATTGGCTGCTTAACTTTCAGTGCATAACTTGTTAAATTATAATATAATTTTTGGCCTATTATTTATATATATATATATATATATATATATATATCAAACACAATTGTATTTTTTTTATATTCAATATACATATTATTGAATTTTTTAATTACAATTACATAAGACAGAAAAAAGTCCCGTTATATTTAATTTAACTGACTTGAAGTTTGCGAACGCAGTTGCTATAAAAAATGAAAAATTCTTAAATTATTGCCAATTTTGTTACAATATTAATTACAATATTAAATTTGTTCAATATAATATATTATAGGACCGTATATATGTGATAACACAAACTATAGAAATCAAAGTCTTAAACAGTCTAGCTGGATCTTAATGTATGATTCTTATGTGAATGTATATACTACGTATGTAATCCCCAGAAATGATTGCGCGCCGAAATGATTTTTCGGTCTTGAAACGTTAACTCTATGAAATTACCGAAGTAATATCACAAGTTAAATTGACTAACAATTTAACAAATTTTTGCTTATTCCTATCTTCCAATCGATTTTAATAATGTTGAATGATATATTGGAATCTGTAAATAATTAATTTTTATTGGAAAAGATATTACCTCGGCTGGGAGTCGAATCCAGATCTCTTGCATTCCGTGCGAGCGTCCTAAGCCTTTAGACTACCGAGGCCTTAGTAATATTCTTCGCAATAATTGGCATGTGAAGGAATAACGTCTCTTTAGACGATGTAAATGAACAATATAATATATTATATTATAGGACCATATATGTCATTCAAC